CAGCCCTTAGTGCACCCTAACAATATTAGTTGTGAATATAGCGTTTATATTGTTGGTGGGGCATAGCGGCTAAAGTCGCTGAGCTATGAAGCAGAAAGCCCTTGGTTCTAATCTCCCCTGTCTGTCATGAACTCTGCCAGCTATTATCTCTCAACCTAAACTGGCTTGTCTGCAGGAGGGAGGATATTCTTCTTCTTCTCTGGTGATCATTTGTAGCAGAATAAGATTGTCTTCCATGAAAATGGTCTTAACAGTGAGTCCGTAAGTGACTGTGGAGGCCAATTCTGGATCCGCACGTCCTTCCACAGTGGGGATGTAGATTTCCGGGTGGGAGTTGATCAGTGAGGGTTTTCCAAATGTGCCTTCCTCTTATAGCATGTTTCTCCTTTTCACCCTGGCTTCATAATTCTTCAAAGTCCACAACGCCTTTGAACTCATTGGAGTGCTCATAGACCAGTGTTTCCCAGTTGTCGGTGTTTATACTACATTTTTTTAGATTTGCCTTGAGAGCATCTTTAAACCTCTTTTGTTGTCCATTGGTATTTCGCTTTCCATTCTTAATTTGGGAATAGAGTAGTTGCTTTGGAAGACAATAATCAGGCATCCAAACACCATGACCAGTCCAACGAAGTTGATGTTGAAGAATCATTGCTTTGACACTGGTGATCTTTGCTTCTTCCAGTACACTGGCACTAGTTCGCCTGTCTTCCCAAGTGATGTGTAAAAATTTTCAGAGACACCGTTGATGGAATCTTTCAAGGAGTTGGAGAATATTCTTACTAGTACTATTGCTACTTTCTAAACCATGGTCTCAAGTTGATTTACATGTAAGATCATTAAAAACAGCTAAAAACACAAAAAAATACATGCCTATTAACAAGACTAAAACCCTAACACATGGATACTCATGGCAAAGACCCATTTATCAAGCTGGGAAGGCCTGTCAGAACAAAAATGTTGTGTATCTCAGCGGGAATACTATTCCAAGGCTAGGTTCAGCCACACTAAAAGCCTTTTTCTGAGTTACTTCAGAGGGGCCTTCAGATATCTTTGGGACATGCAGGAGAAACTCTATTGCAGACTGCAACAATCTACTGGGTGTATAAGGAGTAAGGTGGGAACTGAAGTAAGCTAGTCCTGAACTGTATAGGGACTTATATGTTTGCAGCAACACCTTGAACTTGGCTTGGCAGGAAATTGGCATTGACATTGTAGAAGGTTTCCCCTCATAATTTTCTTCCACAAGAACAGCACGCAAAGCTTGTAGAGGAGCTTCCCTATGGCCTGACAAGTCTGCCTGGCCCTGTATACCTTTTTTCTACCCATTATACAGATGCTGAAGTACTCCTTCTGCAGCTCCAACGTGAGTGCCTTCAGCTGCCAATCCAGCTGGTTGGACCTGCTCTCCCTTGATGTCATCACCTGGTAGGGGAGCCTCAACTTGGAGCTACTACCATGCCTTTTGCAGAGACCAGGCCCTATGGCACTGAGGAGAAAGAGATGGGAACCTGAGGATAGCCAGTGGGTCCTAGGCATGCAGGTCCAAGGCTGTGGCAAGGGCAGCTGGAACTCTAATTAGGTGCCCATAGAGCCCCAGTAGAGATCTCCTTAGAATTCTTTGGCTGCTCTCAGCCGTTGAGTCAGTTCAAGGATATTGCACCTTTTGTACCTGGGCAAATGTACTAGTTTCCTAGACGAGCTTGCCAAATGACCTATCAAACCTATGTTTATATGGCTACAATATGGGTGTGAATGGATTTTCACTTTATACTTGCCTCAGTGCAATTTACACAACACAGATGCTCATGCTAAACATGGATCAATGTATCTTAAAGATGTTATAGATTATCCTAAAGCTATCATTGCAAATGGCTTCCCCAAAGAGGAACTTCATTATTATGTATTGACAGAATACCCAAGCTTAGGATCTTTAGGAAATCTGGTTCATTGGGGTTTTTTTGTTGTTGTTTCAATTATTTTGCTTTTTCAGTTTTAAAGTAATAACTGAAATGGATTTGTCACACCTGGAGTTATACTGAAAGGACCAAATAGGGTGTCCCAGACTGATGCTTCCTTATCTATCTTAATGAGATGGATAAGATTTCTCCAGAAGGACCCAATGAATTGTGTGCTTCAGTTAGAGTAAGCAGGGCAGAATTAAGGTCTAGATAATTAATCTAAATAATCTCGGATGAGACTCAATAGAGACTCTGCAGAACAGTCATTGCACACTTTAATTCATGCACCATCTGTTTTGGGCAAATTAGCACAGATGAAATTTTGCATCCACTCATCTGCCGACATGAAGACTCCGTTAGCCTTCGGGATACATCAGTGCTTAGTTACCAGGGCTATATTACATTGGCATGTTGTTCATATCATGCATCAGGCATATCTCAGTAGGTAGGAACCCTTTCACCATGAGTCACCAACATTTTTGGACCCATGGGCACATTTGCAAACTGTTGTGGGCACCACAGCTATACACAACATACATGGATAGCAAGCACATGCACACCCACCACAGAACAACAGCCCATCCACTCAGTTAGATTTGGGGGGGGAAGTGCTTTAACGTCCCAAGCCTAATTGGATATACTGGATGTTGTAGCAGGAGAGAAAAGGTCAAACCTTGTTTCTTTCAAGCCCAATTTCAGGGAGAGAAGCAGCAGGGCGAGACCCTGTGCACACCATGTTGGCAAGCATTCATGGGTGTAGCCAGGAGGTGCAGGGGGTAGCTGCCCCACCCCCAAAATCAAACAAGTAAGTAAGTAAGTAAGTAATGATAGTCATTGCTGCTGGAAATATGCTAATTGGACAGCAGGACATCTTTGGCGATTATGTCCTTTTCGGGAGAAATTAAAATGTAATGGAAGAAATATGGGGTTATTATCTTTAAATTAATCAAGCACAATGTGTATTGGCTTGTACCAAGGACAAAGTGCATCCTTAAAAAAAAGATAAATAGTGGTGTATATATATAGTAACTACAGCTTGAGTAACACGTCCAATAGAGAAAGTAATATTAGGGGTTATGTTCCAGTGATGAAATTGGCAAACTATGCCAGCTTAACAGAAAGTGGGGGAAGACAAAAGGTGGTCACTTTTAACTGAGCACTTTTTACTGAATACAATAGTAGAAATCAGTTGTGTTCAAATTCAAAATGATGATTACTTGGTTTAGAAAAAGAAATTGTTGCTTTTTTTTTTGAAGAAGCAAAACTTAAGGCTTGAAAATGTGCTGGGTGTGGGATATGTTGATTATTATCTTAATAGTGGTTTTGTTGTTGTTGATTTTCTTTTTGATGCTTGCAGAAAATCCACATAGCAGTGAGAGTTCTGTGTACTTTCGCAAGAGGGATGAGTATTGTGTTGCTTTTCAGTTTTATTGTTCCCAATGCACCTTGAAGACCAGGCAACTAGGCTTTTGGGCTGGTGTCATTTTAAATATATTTGCAGCTTAGACTGTGTCACTTGCGATCTTACTGGTAGAAACTATGAAGTGTAATGATGGCAATCATCTCTATTAACTGTGTAATTTGGAATTCTTACTTTCCATTATTCATTACGCTCAAGATTCTGTATTCCAAGTTTTGAATCCCCCCCCAAAAAATAATCCCTGGTTTTTTTTGTTTTTGTTTTAAAAGCAAGAGTCTAGTCCTTCATATCTCTATAGATACCATCTTAAAACATGCAAGCAGCAGTAAAGGAAGGAACATTTGTTTAGTGCTAGAAATACATACTACATGCATTTAAATGTGTTCGTTTGCGATAAAATAGATATTTAGTTACATTCATTAATCCAAATTTTCTTACAGATTTTTTCTTTTTAAGAGTTCAGTGGAGAAATGAGACAGAATGGATGTATGAATGAAAGCACGTGATTTTGACATGGACCAGAAATAGACTGAGCTGTCCATCATTTAACTAGAATCAAAATTGTAAGGACCTGTCACCTCTGCTCTGTGATAAACAGCCTGGTGTTTTGCTGTGCTAACAGCCAGGCAAATACTTTTGATCTCTCTTAATACTGAACAAAGCTAATTTACTACCTATACATATTCAGTATAAAAGAAAACGCATGCCCTGTGATTCATAAGGCTTAATACTATGGTATGATTTCTAAGGGAATCAGAATCTAGTCTCGGAGGAGGAGAGTTGATGGGAGGGAGCAGAACTGAGGGGGGCACCAAAATGAGATCCACACTAAATTGCTTGCTAGTACTCTAGAGGCCCACTTTGAGTTAATCGGTAATTTTTCACAGACGACATCTAATCTATGACTATAAATTACTTTGCACTCTTATTATTCCTTAATTGAAGTGCACCAATGTGAAGTTTCCATACATGTAGCAGGAACGATTCTAGCTTCAATTAACTGGAATAGAATTGAAGCCCATTTTCCCCTCCCCTCCCTGTTCTCTCTCCTTTCCTCCCTGAATGAGGGAGTATTGTTTGACATCTTGTATTTATTTAAATGGTCACAGAAAATTAGAGAGATTACTACTCTCCGTGGACTGTTTCATAACACTACTCTTAAGCGTAATGGTAGGCCTTTATATAATCTTGTATTAACTTGAACTTAGTAGCTGCTATGTATATACTACGAACACACACACACACACACACACACACACACTGCCCATTGGCTTAGCGTGTATCCCAAATTACAAGGCAAATCAGGGTGTTTCAGGGAAGACATCTTAACAAGACATCTTAAAGTGGATACGGGAATTTGTCACTTTCTAAGTGACTCTATGGCTTTGGATGTTGAGAAAACACATGGCTTTGACTCCCACCAAGAAACAAAGTGACAGACTTCTCAATTAGTTCATTTTTTTTTAAAAAAAATCTAAATATTGCACATAGCACCAAACACATAGACTTTACCTCCAGATTTCAGATCATTCTGATTATGTAGTTGCCTTCATTGCTGGTTCACATGAAAATGTTGACTAAAAAAACCCCTAAACAATGATTTTTTGTTATGGATTTGTGCCATGAGTGTCCTGACTCAGAGCCTAAAAGATAGCAGAGTTGGCACCATGTGTTTGACTCTGGGTAGACTAAGGTACAGCCTGCAGCTTGGGTGCCACCACAGAAAAGGCTACCTGCAAATTGCCAGCTGTGGAACTTCAGGTAGGGTCTCAGAAGAAGATTTAAAGCAGGGATTGTTCACTTTCTGGGGTCAGTGGGCACATTTGGAATTTTAAGAAAGTACCAAGGCACCAGTTACAAAATGGCTGCTACAAGGGCACAAAATGGCTACCACGGGGGTGTTGCATAACACAAAATGACTGCCACATGTATAAGAGGCAGGACCTCAAAATGTTGTGTTCAATCCTGGCATCCAATGAAATGTTGGTATGTTTAAGGCGGCATGTTCCATTCAGGAGAGGCTGAGCTAGTATAAACAGGAATGGAGTGGGAAGAGCAAACAGTCTCTCATGCACTGTGGAATTTTGAGGGGATATTTTCTGAGAGCTTTCATGGGTGGCCCAGAAGGTACTGGTGAGACGCGTTGCCGATACCCAATTTAAAGGTTTATATGGAACTTGGCTGTTCTTCAGATGGAAGCAGACTTTGGACTCTGCTTCCACTATTGGCTGGCTGTGCCAGACAGGCCTAAGCTGTCAAGCGAAATGTGTTAACTTGCCTTCTTTCCATGATGATGCTCAATGTCTGTTTCACCTTGGCTTATATTATTTTTAAAATGAGAGAGGCTGAAATTGAATCAATGCTTTATCTACTCCTCTGCGTTATGAAAAGCGATTCCCATTCTCCTTAAGTGAAAATTGAAATAGCCGTAAGCAGAGCAACCGCCAGGAAGGCAAGATTTTTGATAAAAGACAAATTTGCTGGTGAGTTTCCTTAAAGTGGGAGAGCTCATGCTCTTAATCCACAGAGATAGAAATATTACCACAAATTCTCTCTGAAAGGTTTGCTCAGCAGGAAAAAAAATAACACACAACACCCCATTCCTATTTACCCATTCATCATAGCATAATATATTTCAGAAAGCACCAAGAAAATACACTCAAGTCAGCTTGAATGACTTATATCCTGGAATACAGTTGTATATAGATGTGCGCACATATGCATCTAGATTTGCAATCTACCTCATCTCAGTGGCTCATGTTTAAAACACAAAATAAAAGACTGCAAATGGACAAATGAAGTCATTCCTTATTATCCTGCTCAACAGCTAATTTTGCCAGAGTGCCATGTGGAGAAAATGACTGCAGGGCTTACAATCAGCAGCAGTGGGAGGCCTAGCACCCATTTAATCCAGAGTCCAGCATAGGCAGCAAATAGGGCCCCATCTGAGCTATGTCCAAACACCAGCAACAAATACCCTCCGCCGTCCATGTGGAATGATGTGGTATTGTGATGAGCATCCGGAAAGGAGGGGGGAAAACAAACAGAAGAGGCGACTGCATTGGTCACCAAGGCAAGGGAGAAACGTAGACCCTCCAAGTGTCCCTCTTTTCCAGGGACAGTCCCAGATTTACAGAATCCGTCCTGGCTTCTGATTTAATCCTGGAATGTCCCACTTTTCCTTAGGATGTCCCTCTTCTCATCAGAGAAATGTCGAAGGGTATGGTAGGACTCCCCTATTTTCATTGGATAAATGTTGGAGGAGATGGAGTTATGCGACCCACCAAGCCAAGGGGCTAAGTAACTATACAATAAGGAACTTCAGAAGACATCTGAAGGAAGACCTGTATAGGAAAGGTTTTAATGTTTAATGTTTCATAATGTTTATAATATATGTTGGAAGCCACCCAGAGTGGCTGGGGCAACCCAGTCAGATGGGTGGGGCATAATAATAGTATAATAATAATAATAATAATAATAATAATAATAATAATTTATTTATACCCCCCGTCCATCTGGTGGCTGGGTTTCCCCAGCCACTCTGGGCGGCTTCCAACAGAATATTAAAATACAGTAGTCCATCAAACATTAAATGCTTCCCTAATAACAATAATAAGACATTCCTATTTCCATTGGAGAAATGCTGGAGGGTATGGACAGGTTCTCTAGGAACTGCCATTTTTTTATTTGCGCCTGACTAGCACTTTCTTACTTTCTTTTTCACAACACAGATGGAGGAGGTTTTTTTTGTGACTTGGGAAGGACCATAGTTCAGTGATATAACACCTGCTTTGCAAGCAGAAGGTGCCAGTTTCAATCCCTGGTACCTCCAGGAAGGGATGGGAGAGACCCCCTAACTGAAACACAGATAAAAGGTGGTACTTCATGCAGCCCAAATTTAAACTATGGGAACTTGTTCCTACCAGAGACAGCAATGGCCACCAACTTAGATGGCTTTAAAAGAGGATTGGAAAGGTTCATGGAGAACAAAGCTGGGTAAAGGATAAAGAGATACATTTGATCAAACAAACTGAGGAAAAACTCCATCAGAACTGCACAGCCAATGAAAGCATGTGTTCCTCACACCTGACTGATTGCTAGGCAACAACTCCACCCAGGCCACCATTGGCTAGCTGACTTTAACACTAAGAGAAATCACCCTCCAGTTGCACTTCCAACAATAAGAGCAACCTTATTCTACCAGAGGCTACAGATGGGGACCAAAGGGAACTTCTGCAAGAATAAATCCCTATTACAATTCAGTGCAGTTGTATCATTTCCTTAATGTAATCCCTGACCTTTCATATCCATTACAACACTGCAAGGGAACCAGCAACTAGCAGAAGCATGTGGAAAACATTATGGCACTACGTGTGCCCGTGAGCAAGAGTAGGCACACACACCCCCACAGAGTATTTGATTTGCCAGTCATTGCTACAACATCCACATGCATTTTCCATCACTGCTGCAAAAACTCCACATGCATTTCCCAGCACAGCATAACGTTTTCCACAAGTGTCACCCCAAATAATATCTGTGTTGTAAAAGAAGACATTACAATGAAGTAGGCTCTGGTGGCTCTATAGCTTTTGCTGCCCTGGGCAAGTTGGGGCAGCAGGATAAAGTTTGATGACACTCAAAGCAGTTGAACTCAAATGCTTGGGAGCTGGGGGGGGGGGGACTCAAGGTTTTTTTTGACACTTCCGTTTGAACTCTCAAAGAGCTCCTTTCCTTTTCATCCCCCAAGCCTCCTTGTGTCCTCTGCTTCTGTCTGTGTGACAACCACCTTGTTCCTCAAAACAATAGAAGTGCAGTACTCTGGTGGCAAGGGATATGGGAGTAGGACAGGATTAAAAATGGACTTGCACAAAGCGCAAAAAGTATACATTTCTTATACATGTCAGGAAGTGGCCAGAAGGCTTCTCCTGAACAGCGAAAGGTGCTCTCATTGTATATATTTTTCCCTCCAGGTTATGGGACTTGCAGTCGATTCCCCTAAGCCAGTGAGAGATGACTCATGAAATGACCCCTGATCTCAAGACCGAGGCAGGTTGGCATTGGCAGAGAGGTTATCTCGGCTACCTCGATCCCAAGTCACTCAAGGCTGTACATCAACATGAGCACCTTAAACTGGACCTGCGAATGCACTGGCAGCCATTGCAGATTCCCACCCCCAAACAGATTATATGACTATGTGCTACAGTACCAGTTTGGTGGGACGGGGGTGGCGCTGTGGGTTAAACCACAGAGCCTAGGACTTGCCGATCAGAAAGTCGACGGTTTGAATCCCTGCGACGGGTGAGCTCCCGTTACTCAGTCCCTGCTGCTGCCAACCTTGCAGTTCGAAAGCACACCAAAAAGTGCAAGTAGACAAATAGGTACCGCTCTGGTGGGAAGGTAAATGGCATTTCCGTGCGCTGCTCTGGTTCTCCAGAAGTGGCTTAGTCATGCTGGCCACATGACCCGGAAGCTGTGCGCCGGCTCCCTTGGCCAATAAAGTGAGATGAGAGCTGCAATCCCAGAGTCGGCCATGACTGGACCTAATGGTCAGGGGTTCCTTTACCTTTACCTACCAGTTTGGCAGCAGCAATCTGCACTAGCTGCAGTTTCTACACTTCAAGGGAAGCTCTATGTAGAGTGCATTATAGTAGCTGAGTCAGGAGCATGCAAAATTATGGCCAGGCTAGCCTGGTCCAACCCAGAGCTGGAAAAAGTTGCTCCTAGCTACCAAAGTGGCCCAGGCTTTAATGACAAAGATGTCTCAAGGAGCAATTCTGGGTGGAGTGCAACAGATTCAAATTATCTGATGCAAATAAGCCCTTTCAGAGGGCACTTTTCAAGTGAGAAAGGGACCACTGGGTATTCCTTACATGCAGTAAAGAAATCACAGGTTTCCTTTTATTTGTTTGTGTCCAACAGTGCATGTGGTTTTCATGCATTAATACCAAACGTGGGATATCAGGTCAGGCCTGGACTGGAATTGCTCATGAATCGAAGTCAAAGCAAACTGCACTTTCCTCTCACGCTCTACCTCTTACTTTCGATTTTTGCTTCTGTTCCCCCCATCCTTGCAGGGGAAATCTCTAAGCCCAGATTGCTTGTGGAAAGCACTTAGGGGAAGAGTAACAGCTTGTTCGGAAAACTTCACAACAGATCCTCTGGGAAGGGAACCTGTGCAATGTTAAAAGAAGGCAAGGTTGTTTGTGCCGGGTTAGTCTGCAGCCGAGACAAGCAAGATCGATATAGCTTTGAAACTGATGTAGGTTGCAATGGGACACCGGGTCTCCACTGGTGGGTTGGGAATGATGTATCTAACAACACAACAGCTGCAGAGGCACAAAATAAATAATAATAAGAAAAGGCAGCGTACATTAGTTCTGTGGATCGAAGATTCCCTAGGAAGGGATGCTTCTTCCTTTGCTTCAAAGGCCACAGTAGGACAGACCTTTGGGTTTTTTAATGCCTACAGAATGAAAAGGAATGAGGAATGAGACCACCAGAAGAAATTCATATTCAGCTTCCGATTTTGGCAATAGGGAAGGAGGATGGAAGTTCTCTCTTTCGCTCTCAAGCAGAACCAAACTACTTAGCATAAATTAGTTCTCAAGAGAGGTCCTTGGGTATTTAATCCAGTCAAGTTCTGGACACAAATGAAGCCAAATGAAGCATCTCTAAGTCCCATGGATCTAAAAAGGACTTGAATAGCCACATGTAAAAAAATTAAAAACAAATCCTCGTGAAAATTCGCCAGTAGTTTGGTGCAAATTTATCCTAATAAACACATTTGTGCATTTTGACTAACATACACATTTTTTCAAGCAATTGCCAATAATGAAATGCATTTTGTATGGTTTTTTTTATAAAAATAAAAAATTGTAAATTTTATGCACACTTCCTTACAATATACACATTTTTTCGTGCATATTGTTTTGTTGGAGAACTGCATCGTAAAACTCAGAAAACTGAATTTTAAGGGACCACTTTGTTTCAATTCACGCATTGGTTTTGAAATATGTGAATTAAGCAGTTTCTCATTTTAAAGTCAAAGAGAATGGAATTTCTCATTCATCTGATGCAAAGGACCGGATCTCACCTTGCTTCCTCCCATCATAATGCAAAATGGGTCGAGCCTTGCATCTGATCAAAGCTTTCACTGCTATTGGACAGCCAGTCATTAGTCTTTTGAATGGAATGCAGTCCCTTATTTCTCTTTCCATACTTAAATGGCAAAACTTGCCTTTTCGAAAGGAAGTGGCAAAGTGTCTTGAAATAGACAACAGTTAGCTAGTTCTTTACTTTCTTTTCTTTTAGTATTCTGCCTCTTTTTATAAGAATTTTAAGACTTTGGTAGAAGGTTTATTTTATGTCTCTTATTTTGTCTTCTTTTACTCTAGGCGGGCGTTAGCTTTTATCTGCCTCCTATATCCCTTTTCATTCCCCTGGAAAACAAACAAACAAAGAACAGCAATTGCCTGGGTCTGACCTTTGTGCACATTCCAAGGTGTTCCAGATGGGGTGTGGGGAGGGGTTTGATTGACAGGCCTCAGGAGGCACCCAACTTAAGGCGCGAGTCCCTCCTGTATTCCATGCACACTTTACTATGAAAGAGCACATCCATTTTGTGCCCTCCTGTATTTTCTATATTCTGATACCTACTCACGGTGGCGTCCCTTGTCTGCCAGAGGAATATATTAAAGACATGCTAAGCAACATTATTCATATATATATATTTAAAAGTGGCACTGTCAGCAAAGTGAAGTATACCATCGTCTATGTTATGAATATAAGATGTGCCTTAATATTCACAGCAGGGCTATCGACCTAATAAAACCTGATTGGGGAGCTGATCTAAACTCACAATAGATGCCCATTGCAGAAGCAAATGTGTTCTCTGAAATTAATCGCGTTATTTATGTGGCGCTTTAAATCGCCCACAGCTCCCAAGCTGAGGGGTGCATTTTAAAGGACCATGCCCTACTTCTCCTTCAAAGCCATTCTGATAGTATACACCCAAACAGCCTCTATTGAAACTCCAGAGGCATGTCACTGGGGGGGACGGGACAATGCAGGAGTGTGTGCAGAGCAGCAGGGCTGCACATGTAGAACTCTTTTAAAAGACTGAGATGTGAACAAGCAATGGGTCCAAGTAGGAGAATGAAACAAGTTTTCGTTTCCCCTCTTGAACAGGTGCCTGGAGGAACTGTAAGAAGGGACAATCTCAGTTTCTCCAATCTTAAATTCAGTTTTCTACATGTCTGCAGCAATCTGCAGCTATTATTATTATTATTATTATTATTATTATTATTAAAAGTTCCTCGTGGAAATTCACCAGCATTTTAGTGTGAATTTTTCCTAGTAAGCACTTTTTTTAATCTGCAGTTTTGACAAACACACACACATTTTTGCAACAAATTTCCCCTTCTGTGATGCATTTATTGTATGTTATTTTCACTAACATATCAATTTCCCCCCAATAGATGCATTTTTTAATTGGCTGGAGAACTGCATCACAAAATTCAGAGAAGTGTGAATTCTGAAAGATGACTGTGTTTCGGTCCTTGTGCTGTTTCGGAAAGCGTGACTTTGATAGATTTCTGCTTAAATGTCAACTGAATCAGAGTTCTCCCCCATCCCTAGTTGCAAGGACTAAATGCACACAGACCTGGATGCAAGATCAGCTAATAATAATAATAATAATAATAATAATAATAATAATAATAATTTATTTATACCCCACCCATCTGGCTGGGTTTCCCCAGTCACTCTGGGGAACTGTGCACGTAGCACATGATTGTAACCTGCAATTCCCCACCCAGCTAGAATATACACTGCAGAAGGGTGCATCATGTGCATGTAGGAAGAGACCTATGATACATATCCATACATTCACCTTCTGAAGAGCACAGGGAGCCCTGTTGTGCACAAATGTTCCACCTGCCTAGGGCTTCCTCATTTACTTGAGATGAGAGCCCACCACCACATGCATGAACTCAGGTGAATTGCTCACTCCACCACCACTTCACTGTGACCAAAAGCCAGGACAAATTTGGAGGGAGGTCTTTGTCTCATTGGATGAGCATGTATTCTGTTAAACGCAAAAGGTCTCATCTCATGTTCAACCTCCAGAATCTCCAGGTTCGGCCAGGAAAGACACCCTGTCTACAGGGAGAGGCACTGCCATTTATTGTATGCAATGCGGAATTAGGTTCACCAATGGGCTGCCTCAGTATAAGACAACTTCCTACATTCAGCCTGGCTTAAGCAAAATCTGTGCCAGATTGTGGCATGGGCTATCAATTTGCTTCTGTGGTGTTCATTTTTAAAGCCAATATATATCCTCTCTCCTCCCCCCCTCCCCCCAAAAAAGAAAACCCCTCCTATTTTGGAATAAATAATAATATTGTATATTAAGTACAACTGGTTACATACCCAGAGACTGTAATCTGACATTTGCTACAGTGGTTATGCATCTCTGCAATCTTTAATGAAGCATAACTGTGTCTGATTCCTGTATTCTCATTTCATCTCTTTTGCCCTTTCCTCATCTGCACAATATTTTTAGCTTGTAGTAGGCCATAGGAAATGTATTGTCTTATTCCACAGTCATTGTACAGGGCTTATTGAAAGCCAGTCACCTTTCTAGCTAGTTAGCTAGCTATCATCTAACTAATTAACTATCATCTATCTTTCAATCTAGAAGATGGTTTGCAAATTGGCAAGTCACACTAAATTTCACTGTGACTTTTTAATTCCTGACTTAGGCACCTTCCCTCTGAATCGTTACTGTATTTCCAGTGTGGTCCTCTCTGCTGAACAAGGTTTTCTTGTTGTATAAGAATAATTTATTATCATAATTACTCATTTCTGGATCTAAGAGGCATGTGATTTTAAAGGCCAGAGTGGAAGACTGATATCCTTGTTTCTGTTTTTACTGAGTTCTCTTTTGATTTCATCATGAAAATTGGTGGTAACTGCCTTAATATTAATGCACTGAATATTTTTTGTGTGTTTGGTTCTATTAGATTAAACAGTATAACACTCTGAATGAAATATCTTAATAATGTGCCCGCTTCCCTAGCAGTGGATTGTTAACAAAACCATGTTGCGCTCAGTTCTGTTTTGGTGCATAACATGAAGAATACAGGAAGTCAACTAAGTTGGGTCTGAAGCACATGAAGAATCTATTCTGCTCTGACTAACATTGGAGATAACTTGGGCCCAAATATTCCTGTGACAATCTTGACCTATGGCCAATAAATACATGGGGTGTGAGCATCTGAGCCAGTTTTATAGCACATCTTTTGGAAGGACTCTTGTTGAAACATATCAAGACATGGTGGAGCAAGCAAACAATTAAAAACTGTTATGTACTGAAGTTCTCACCCTGGGCCAGCAGGAGGATACTGTAGTTAGCTAGTTTTCACTCAGGTCCACATATGCAAATAGGGGATTGAAAATGACGTTCAGTGATTGGATAGTTACAGAAAATGGTCACAGTTGCGTTGTACTGGAGCTCTGTATAAGCAGGCTGGCTGAACCCTTCAGTTCAGTTCTGTTCTGGCCTGTGAATAAACAAGAGCTGTTGAAGAATCGCTGTGTCGTCTGATATGTTCACCCACAACTTAAAAACTGAAAATCAACATGGCTGCTTTCGGTCTCCCCCACCCCCATATACAGAATGCTATATGTACTGCATACCTATTGCACTTTTCAAAATGCCTTACATTTATTTGTCGTTTATTTATTTACTTATGTCATTCACTTCATTTCTGAATGCCTTCCCATGAAACATCCTGAAGCAACTGAGCAATAAAAATGTGTGTAAAAAGAACTGTAAATGACAATTACGCAGGGCTACATATTGTGTCTTGCACCAAGATATACTGCTGTCTCTGCATCCTCTGAGAGAATAATAGTGGACGCCATTATTCCTCACTACCCTGAGGAACTCTCTCTCTCACACTGTACAGAGAGAAGGCAGAGAAAGAGCTTTATGAAGAAAGAAAATAATAAAACGTAAATGCTCCCTGACCCCACTAGGGGTTCTTCTCAGTTGCTTATTTTTCCAATCCTAAATTCAGTTCCTCACATTTTGCAGCATTTTTTGGGGGTAATCCTCATGAAAATTAACCAGCGTTGTAGCGCATATCTGTCCGAGTGAGAACATTTTAATATTAAGTTTCACTAATGTACACATTTTGGAAAGAAGTGTCTTAAAGGCAATGCATTTTTATGTTATTTTCTCTAACATCTTAAGTTCCATGCACACTGTCTGCTAATTTATGCAAACATTGGTTGGAGAGCTGAATTTGCAAAATTGAGATAAATGTGGATTTTTAAGGACAGCTCTGCTTTCGTTCGCACATTGTTTCAGAAAGATAGATTCGGTTTTAAATGCAAACCAAACCGAATTTCTCCTGCATCCTGAGCCCCTTCAAATGCTTTGGTATAGATCCCCTCACCCCAAAACAGCTGAAATTCTCTACAGCTGAACAGGGTGGCCATTCAGTCTCAACCCCAGCTTAATAAACAAAATAAAACCAATAACTTTACAAAGGATATTAAATCACTCAGATACTATGACCCAAAAGGCCAGGCTTCTATTTGTCACTCTGGACATAAAATTATTAGAGTCAGTCAAGATTCTCCGCCAGATTGCTAAGGGCAGAATCAGTCCTGGACTTCCTTTCTCTCTCCTTATAACAGTTTGTTAATAAGATGCCATTGCTATCGCCCATTATGAAAAGGGCAATGTAGATGGGCCATCTCGTTTTTGATTAAAGAGTGGAATGGAAATTTTGTCCACTCCTCATCATAATTAAAGGTTGTTTCTCCATTTTCTGTAATTAAACCCAGTTATGAATAGAAGTAGCTTTTTCTCTTTTTTACAAAGATATTCTTAATCAAAGGTTTGCGGGTGTTTTTTTTTTTAAAGTTCTTTCTAAAGCATCCTGTAGACTGTTGCCCTATGAAGAAGTGGAGGGATTTGATCCAAGTGCTCTCTTGCTTTGATTGCTAAGCTTGAAGGTTAAAGATCGACATTTGCAATTTTCATAGCTGCAACTCTTAAGCAAGGTTTTCAAATAGCACCAGGAAGAACCTTTAAACTACAGAATGCTACAGAGCAGAGGGAGGAGACACAATTTGGTGATCAATGTCCAATTCATGCATATATTAGACTTGCGTGAACAAAGGCAGCGAAGTCCTCTTGGGTGTGTGTGTTTTAAATGTTATTAAACAAGAATGACAGCCCTGTTATCTATTTGTTATCTCTGTGTGTGTGTGTGTGGTCTAAATCACTGAGCCTGGTCAGCGGTTCAAATCCTCATGATGGAATGAGCTCCTATTGCTCAGTCCCAGCTCCTGCCAACCTAGCAGTTCGAAAACACCCCCAAAAGTGCAAGTAGATAAATAGGTACCACTCTGGTGGGAATGTAAATGGCATTTCTGTGCACTCTGGTTTCCATCATGGTGTCCCGTTGTGCCAGAAGTGGTTTAGTCATGCTGGCCACATGACCCGGAAAGCTGTCTGTGGACAGACACCGGCTCCCTCTGCCGGAAAGCGAGATGAGCACTGCAACCCCATAGTCGCCTTTGACTTGACTTAACTGTCCAGGGGTCCGTTACCTTTTGTTTTTACATATGTATGTAGTCAGTTCTCAACATTCCATAATAGTTAGTCTGTCAGAGAACCCAGTATTGTCCCGACATTACTCGGAAAGTGCTGTCATTTGCTCCTACGTGAAAAAGCGTTGTGTTTGAGGATACTGTCATTGTTCATTGATGTACATTGATGATTATGTTTTTATATGTGTTGGCAGCCACCCGCAGTCGCTGGGGCAACCCAGCCAAATATGTGGGGTATTATTATTATTATTATTATTATTATTGTTATTATTATTATTATCAATGTTCCTTAATGCTAAAAGAGGCTACACAGCAGTTTAAAAAGTACAGAGACCAGTTACGCCAACCTTAAATCATAAGCATTCACAATTAAAATGGAAAATAAAATAATCCCATTAAAATATTTAAATGTAAGTATCCGCATTCAAACAACCTTATTAAAACAACACAGTAATTAAGACAGGGGGCCAGTACACTTGACGCCTCTTGTGTATTCAATCACTGTGAAAAAAGCTCACCTCTGCATTGCTACAAGCGGATGCCACAGGCATAGCAAGACCAACTAGGTTTCATTTGCTGATCTTAATACCTTTACCGGCATGGGAAAGGAGAAAGCTTGTACAATATATTTTACAGTGGTTAACCAATAGGCCTCGACGAAAAGAGCATGCACAGTGCACAAATGGAGCTATAACCATGTACAAATGGCTTGTCAAAATTCTCCACCCTGCCTATGGGCAGACATGTTGAATCTGAAATTTTCTCAGAAAAAAATATATATCTTAGTTTGTGAATAAGGAAAGAACGATCAGAAAGTGCATAGTGCTACGCAGCTCGAATCACTGCAATATTAGAGAAATAAGTAAGATTTAAAAATGTTTATTTATTCTTTCTATCCCACCCTGTTTCCTGTGTATATATAAATACGGATGTTAACTTGAGGTTGGGCAACAGTTAGGTGGGTAGATTACCTATTGCTGGAGTCCCCCCCCCCCCAATGATGGGCTTCCCGATATTGTTGGACTGCAACCCGTAGCAACCCCAGCCAGCTTGGACGATGCTCAGAGGTTGTAATCCACAATATCTGGAAGCTATCATGTTGATTACTCCTGGACTAGGAAGATATTCCTGCCCGGCTCTTGATGCGTAACATACATGCTCCCTGTGGGCCTAAGGAGTTTGGATATGGGGGTCTCAAAACACACCGCGAAACAGATTGCGGGAGATGCTTATGTTCCTTTTTTGCATTGAAAGCAGCCTATCTTCTTCAAAAGTGCCTGCATAATGCATACCATCGTTTATCATGCATAACATTATTATAATAAACACTGAAGGATTTGTAGTGTAGAATGATGAGTCACTTGTAAATGGTTGCCAAGTGGATAAAGAACACAATGTATTTACATAGCGCTTAACTCCTGTTACATTCGAAAGCTGTCGTCAGATAATAACGGCGCAACAAGCGTAAGCCGAAATTTAGCATGCTCTAAATCCTTTCTCCTTTCTCTCTCCCCTCTTTTTGCAACTTGCAGGTTTCTTGAGCACAGGGGATCAAGCAGCTAAAGGAAACTATGGCCTCCTTGACCTCATTCAGGCCTTGAGGTGGACTAGCGAAAACATTGGGTTCTTTGGGGGCGACCCACTGAGAATCACTGTTTTTGGATCTGGCGCCGGCGGCTCATGTGTCAACCTCTTGACTTTATCCCATTATTCTGAAGGTAACCGTTGGAGCAATTCAACCAAAGGTATTATTGCAGGTTGCAAATTTTGACGATTTTGGTGTCTTGCATGCCACCACTATGACTTCTATGTGACGCTCTTGTATATATATATGTGCATATATATAAATATATAAATATATATACACACACATACACACATATATATGTAGCTAGATGTATCAAAAGCAACTTAATCATTAGATGGTATTAATCTTTCTGTGCTTTGCAGGGAGGGGTGGGGTTCATACCCAACCCAAAGGGGTGTGAACATATGTAAAAATCTCCCTCTAACTGACACAACTTCATACTCCTTGCATTCTCCTAATGTAGAGAGGATGGCTTTCGTTTGGCGCTTTAACTCTTCCACACGTTTATTGGGAAATTGAGGGCTTAATTAAAATGACTCGAGTAACGTGAACAGGAGAAAATGAGCCACAGCATGTTGAACGTGTTGGGAGGAAGGGAGTCAAAATGGCTCTGGTGTCATTGCGAACACTTAATAAATAGCACCATCATCACTGTTGATGTCACAGTGAAGATAAGGAGGCGTTTAACAGTTGGTATTCCTCTTTTCAATCATACCATCAGAAGATTTTGTCCTGAAGGGAAAATGAAATAAGAGACGTATAGGGCAGAGATGGGGCCTGTCTGGTCCTCTTCTCCATCACATACCTTATTCCTAAGACATGCTTTTCACCAGCTTGAGTTTATACCCTCCTTGAGTGTTTTGCTTTGGTGGGATGTCTCCTTGAACTCTGATATTGCCTCTTGCTTCCTGGATGGAAGACACAGAGGAGTGTGTGTGTGTGTGTGTGTGTGTGTGTGTGTGTGTAGGAAGCAGCCTACACAGGGCATTGGAATAGATGAACTTTGGGGTCATCTCTACTGCCCAGAGATACAATGTGCATGTGTCTCTTCCCCCACATTTGCCCCCATTCCTGCCTGCTGCTGACAGGTAGACCCTGGAAGTGGAAGGTTGCCCAGATGGGAATGTGCTTCTTGGTCTGCAGAATATCCCCCTTGGATATAAGTTCCTAAAGGGGGGGGCGCACTGGGGGTCATTGCAGTTGCCCGATACCCCTATAAGTAATAATCAGATTTCAGGGTCCTTGTTTGTTTTCATTTTCAAATACATTTTCATCTAATATTTCAATTGAGGTTGGGTCTGTTTGATCCAATATTTATGAATTCATTCATTCATTCATTCCAAGACAAAAGCATCCACAAATCAGCTTGCACTATAGCTAATGTGAATGGGACCTGAAATTGCTTTTTTAAAAAGATTAAACAAATTCGTGGAAAATGAGGCTAATAGTCACAATGGCTAAATGCTTGGTCTGAGAACAGACACCAGTGCCAGATTTAGGGAGGTGCAGGCTGTTTTCTACACTGGGTGCTGAGCCAGGGGCGGGGTGTAAAATTGAGAAGATCCATAACCAAGAAGATCCATTTTGGGGTGCCAGTTTTTGGGTTTGTGCAGGGCGCCATATTACAAAAGATCTCCAGAGATTTCCACAGTCTGCCTCTGAATACTAGTTGGTGGAGAACAACTGGAGGAGAGGGCTGTTACCCTCATGTTCAACTTCCGAGCTTCCCAAAATGTATCTGGTTGGTTGCTGTGGAAAACGTAACACAAGACTAGCAATACCTTTTAATTGATCCAATATCCTTACATTGGGAAGGAGCAGCTACCTACCTCCGCTTGTGAGGCTTGCAGAAAACACTTCTCTTTGGGTATTCACTCAACAGAACCTATATGCCGTGCTTTTTTAAAAAAGGGTACTCATAGGTACGCAGTACCGGTACCCCTTTTGTTGTTGTTAAAACATGTGGCACTTACTGTAACAACTTCATGGTGGGTACTGCCACCTATTTTTCTAGGGGGGAAGCACTGCTTATATGTACAGTGGTACCTCTGGTTGCGAACAGGATCCATTCCGGAGCCCCGTTCACAACCTGAACAGAACGCAACCCGTATCTGCGCGTTTTCGCATGCGCGGGTTGCGATTCGCCGCTTCTGTGCATGTGCGTGACATAATTCTGCACGTCTGCACATGCACGAGCAGCGAAACCCAGAAGGAACCCTTTCCAGTACTTCCGGGTCGCTGCGGCAACCTGAAAAGACGTAACCCGCAACATTCGCAACATGAGGTATGACTGTATATATTCTTTGGAAAGAGAGTCAGTGACATTCACAGTATAGATGAAGCCAACAGTATTTCACCAGTTGTCAAGGGCCTGTTTAGCTTTTTTTTTTAATGTGTAGAAATGTCTGGAGGAAAGTTCACTGACACAGCTCTCTGTTTCAAAGCTAATGGCAGAGCGGCTGCAAACTGTTATCTACTGTGAAGAAAATGAGCACTTAGTCCAGAAGTCTTTTGTCTGAATCGGTTATGAATTACACTTGGTGCCACCCAAGGAAAGAGCAGGCTTTTAAAAAACCATCTTTTTGCATGTGCAATCTAAAATTGCCCAAGTATCAAGGTCACTCCCGCATGCCTTTTCCTGATCTGTGCTCTTTTCAGCACAGCCAGACAGCAAGGGAAAAAGGCTTTCTCCCCTTCAAGTTTGACACCCCATAGCAGGGGTCACCAGCCCAGTGCTCATGAGAACTCGTGCGCCCATCACTACATCCTATGGAGGCGGTGAAAAGTCACAGCAAATGTCTCCTCAAAAATCTACAGTGCGTGAGATGGTGAAGCTGAAGCTGCCTGCATCATTTTGTGTTACTATCTCTTTTTCTGCTCTTTTAGATGTGGCAGCCAGGGGCAGACTTTGGTATTATGGCGCCCTGAGCTGGGCCAAACTTTGGCGCCCCCACCCCAGCCCTCACAGCATGCTGGGCTTTGGGAAGGAGGTGCCGGGGCTCTGGCAGAGTCCTAAAGTCCTCCCACCTCCTTCCCAAAGCTGGGAAAGCAATAACTAAGCTTTGGGAAGTAGGTGGGAGAGCCAGTGTGGTGTAGTGGTTAAGAGTGGTGGACTCGTAATCTGATGAACCGGGTTCGCGTCTCCGCTCCTCCACATGCAGCTGCTGGGTGACCTTGGGCTAGTTACACTTCTCTGAAGTCTCTCAGCCCCACTCACCTCACAGAGTGTTTGTTGTAGGGGAGGAAGGGAAAGGAGAATGTTAGCCGCTTTGAGACTCCTTTGGGTAGTGATAAAGCAAGATATCAAATCCAAACTCTTCTTCTTTTTCTCTTGGACCCTGTCAGAACCCTCATGCCTTCTCCCCATAGCCAGGCAAGTGCTTCTCATGCACCCTCTCTGCTTGGAACCCAGTGCAGAGGAACTGGCCATACTGCCCTAAAACCACCTCTGTGGCAGCCATTTTATGCTAAGCCACATGCGCCCCAGTTCCCAGTCAGTGTTACGGCATTGCTGAAGCTCTCCTCTGAGGTCCAGCCTCCGTGAGCTGGAGAAATGGACCACTGGCTACCATCTCTTCCTCACACTGCATTCTGAGAGGCACTTTGTAAGTGGGGGATGTGATTGTCACAAGGAAAGCAGTCATTGGTGGGGGAGCCATTTTTGCGACCCCTTTCATTTTGCCTCTGAACAGGGTGGGAGAGATGGTGTGAGCTGCACTGGAGCTGTCTTCTATTTCCATATGCCCAACAATGTTCAGGGCCCCCAACTTGTTCTTATTTCATCCCAACCCTGCCCCCAGCAAAAACGTTTGAAAGTTCAGCCCAGTTCTAATGAGCTCACTCCGTGGGACAACATTGCCCACCCAGAGATGTGAAGTGATGCAGATGTCCTACCCACTTTTGGTGTGGTGTCTCATTCACTTAGACAGTTGACCATTTGGTCCTGCAGTTATCCAGTATTGATGAAGAAACATGCATAGGCCAACCCCATACTCCAAACAATTGTTTAGCAGCATCAGCAGCACAATGGTTGAAAATCTTTGAAGAAGAATCCATATCATCTTTTTCTCAGAGAGAGGTGGATTTTCTCAAGGAATGTTCTTAGAAGAAGTCCTCTAGAGAAGGTTGGGTTCAGCTTTAATCTGAACCATGACATTTTTGTCGAAATTAACTCGACAACATAAGAAGGGTCTACTGGATCAGGCCAGTGACTCATCTAGTCCAGCATCCTGTTTTCACAGTGGCCATTCCATAAATTAGAGTAGAAATATCCATCTGTCCTCCAGTGACTGTGATAAATATGACTCTCACTCAAAGTGAGACTAGATTTATTTTAGCTGTATAGAACCACAGACCAAGATAGCGTTTTAAAAATGGTGGGTAATAGTGAGGTATGTACACAATAGAAAATATCAATGAACAAACTGTAGCCATGAATAACATACATTCACCTGGAGTTTGGACATGACCCAGCCAAAGTTAAGCACTTTTAAATCAGCATACGCCCTAGGGAATAAGTGCTGTTCCATCTTAATAAAATTTACTGTTAAGTAAACATACATTAGATGAGGTTACACAGTCTGTTGATTTTGGTTCTATCCCACTGAATGTAAGGTAACTTCAACATGACCAGATGGATGGATAGTACCCTTTACTTTTGATAGTACCTGCTCTCTGTGCTAAGGCTACAATCCTCAAACCATTTACTCTGGAGCAGTGCCACTGATTTCCATGGAGTTGCTTCAGAGAGAGAGGCTTTAAGGGTTAAAGTGGAATATCCCTTTCATCCATTTTTTTCATTATCACAGTTCAATAAAAAAAAAAAGATTTTTGTCCTTAAAGTAGCTGAATTGAGCTTTATGGTTTGAGGACTTCGACCACTTTTAACTTAATCCAACCTTTAATGGAGCATTTAACAAGCTCTGCTGTTTATATCAGCAGTTTCTGAGCAGGTGACTTTCCTTACCATCTAATCCATAACCCAGTAAGGCAGAAGTTGCAGGGATTTAAGCCGATTTAGTGCTTTTGCCATCAGTGGAAATAAACACGGCACAGTGGCATTCATTTGCTATTTTCTCCCATTGAGGAGAGAAGGGAGTCATGTGTCAGTTTGCGGGTTATACTGGGCTGAGGATTATCCGTGGAACAGGAAATTACTCTGTACTATCTATGTGAATGAAGCTGTCCTTTTCACTTAAGTGAATGGCAAAGCCTTTTGGGTGTGGCTGAATCTATTTCTGGTCTGTGTTACCGACACCTTTTTTTTTACCCATTCTGTTTCACATTTATTTACTTTCTCTCCCCCCCCTTCAAAATCCTTTCAAAATACATTGCATTCTGTCCATCAAAAAACAGGTGTAAAACCATATTTTTGATATCTTTAAACCTATTTGGGTACCTTTAAACTGCTGAGGAAATTCATGGCAACATTCAGAGGAGCATGAAATTTATTGGATAGTGAGATTCCAATCTGTCTGTTGGTCCAAAAGGTGCAGAAGGAATCAGAAAGTATCAGATTCCTTAAGCATTCCCGAAACAACAGTAAAGGGAGCAGCGTGGGGCAGATCCCACAAACCCATTCACTGATGGAGCAGAATTCTTAATCCAATTTGAGTGTATTCTGCCATAATTTAAAAGAAAATTCCTCGAGTTCAATGTAAATGAAATCCAATGAATCGTTCAGAAGCTGAACTTGGATTCAGAATTCTATTGATTTGTACAGTGCCGGCAATATTAACCACCGTAATGCAATGCAGAGTTTGAAACTGCCCACACTGATTGAAGATTACAGTCAGTAGTAAGCATATTGGCTCTGTAGAAATATGAGCTGCTTTCAAGCGGTCACTATTTTGTGAGAGGGATTCAACTGCAAACCAGAAAATTAAAGGTTTGAACAATTAAAGCGCTGTGTTTCAAAAAGCAACCACCACCCACTTTTACAAAAATCAAACCTTCTGTGGTAAGGAAAGTGATGGGGGAAAGCACTAGAAACTATGGAGCAATGATCTATTTATGGAGAAACTTAGAAGTTCAGCACAACAAGGACTGATCGCATCACCTGGAAGCAATCTTAAGTTGATACCTGTGACATTTTCATGGGTCCTGTTGAAGTGCCACCTTCTTGGGGTGCTGCAAATAAATAACAAACTAAAATGTGTAATTCAGTGTTTGACTTTTGCACGCTGTGCCCTTTTCCTACCTACCTCCTCCTCATGTGGAGATAGTAATGAAGTATGTGGGCCTTATTCCATTTGTTTGAATCTAGGAATTCTCGAACCGATTGATCTGTTCCTTGGAAGAAGGAGGCCTATCATGTGCCTATGTTCAAATAAACGTGGCCTCCTCCATTGATTATTTTCTTCCCAGATGGAAGGAGAGAGGTTTCTGTGTGATGCCACAATGAGGATGCTGCCAGTTCACTTCCACAACTCAGTTCTTGTGAAATGTGAAAAAAGTGGTTTATAGGGCATAAAGAATTAAATAACTGCAGCAGAGTCTTTTTTTCCTGAAACTCAGAGATGAGGGACCTGTGGCCCTCCATACATTCCCATAATCTCTTATTGTTAAGGTAGTCATGCTGATTAGAGCATCTCAAGTTCATCCAGACAGCCACAGGTTCCCCATCTCTGCTATAACAATTTAGTACAACAATTTTATTCAAAATAAGCCACATTCTTCATGGACGAATTGTGACACTGAAGGCAGCAATAAATACATGGGCATTAATGCTTTGCATCCGACATTCAACTCATGTTTTATTCAGTGGTCCAGGTGCAGGAATGATCCACCAAATAACTATACTCTTTTCTTAGTAATATTAATATTGATTTATCTACCACTTATACGTATGTCCAAATGGCTTCTAAGTGGTTTAAAACTATAAAATCAATGCATAATTAAAATACACAAAGCAATTGCATCAAAGCAGTAAGAGCATCCATAACTAATATATACAGTAAAACAAGTCAACTTTAGACAATAAAACACAATGAAAACAATAAAACCAGAAGTTCAGTTCAGGGGAATGCTTGCCTAAACAGTCTTCCAGAGCCAGAGGAATGCCAACACTTTTGGGACCTATCATAGTTCAGCAGGGAGGTCATTCCACAACACTGGGGTCACCAATGGAAAACCCCATCTGTGTGTATCTCAGGATTGGCATTTTATCATTTGTATACAGAGCAGCGTGGACAGAAGGCAGATCTGAATCTTCAGGCCATCTTGACTTCTGATTGCTTAACAATAGCAGCAATGAAACAACCCTCCTTCTACCCTAAATTTTACTGTTGAAATTCAGAAAACTTGGGAGAACACAGGGTAGATTTTGTGTGTGGAAGGCCTGTGAGCTCCATTATGTTCTATTACTAGTGCCTGAGCTCACAATTATTTAATTCTAAGTGTATTGTTTATTTGCACCTGGCTCCAATTGGGGGATTTTGTGGTTATCGTAAAATGTAAAGTAGGCACTGCAAGTTTTAAGTCTGCTTGTCTCACTTGTGTTCTCTCATTAGTCTACAACAATAATATATAGTTTTTGTTTGGACACAACTGTATTACATTGTTTAACTGCACATATACCAACCAATGAGTTCCTCCTCCACTTCCTTATCATTCTCATTCTCATCCTCATTTATTATTATTATTATTATTATTATTATTATTATTATTATTATTATTATTTCCTAATGATTATATTGCAAAAATGAGGTGTTTTCCTAACTTAACTCAAATATTTTAAGCATGTAACCACTTAGCTATTGCATTCGGGTCTGTTTTCTTATCCTGTCTTCTACCTTCCCATACAGGACTTTTTCAAAGGGCAATAGCTCAAAGTGGAACAGCTCTTTCCAGCTGGGCAGTCAGTTTTCAACCTGCAAAATATGCCAGGATGCTGGCTACAAAGGTTGGCTGCAATGTGTCCGACACTGTAGAATTAGTAGAATGTCTACAGAAGAAGCCTTATAGAGAACTCGTCGATCAGGATATCCAACCAGCCCGATACCACATAGCCTTTGGTCCAGTCATTGATGGGGATGTGATACCAGATGACCCTCAGATATTGATGGAGCAAGGAGAGTTCCTCAACTACGACATAATGTTGGGTGTCAACCAAGGAGAAGGGTTGAAATTTGTCGAAAACATTGTCGACAGCGAAGATGGCATATCTGCAAGTGACTTTGACTTTGCTGTTTCAAACTTTGTCGATAACTTATACGGATACCCTGAAGGCAAAGATATACTGAGAGAAACAATTAAATTTATGTACACTGACTGGGCGGATAGACATAATCCTGAGACAAGAAGGAAAACATTGCTGGCTTTGTTTACCGATCATCAGTGGGTTGCACCAGCGGTTGCTACAGCTGATCTTCATTCAAATTTTGGATCACCCACATATTTTTATGCCTTCTACCATCATTGCCAAACAGACCAGGTACCTGCATGGGCAGATGCTGCTCATGGGGATGAGGTTCCTTATGTATTAGGAATCCCAATGATTGGTCCTACTGAATTGTTTCCTTGTAATTTTTCCAAAAACGATGTCATGCTGAGCGCAGTGGTGATGACATACTGGACAAACTTTGCAAAAACTGGGTAAGTAATTGATGAGCTTATAAGGCAGATCAAGATTTTGGTCAAATCAAGGCCTATCCTTTCTCATGACACCCAGATAACAAAGAAGGGTTTCCACATTGGTAATTGTATTTTCATGTGTTTTCAGCTCATAAGCTTACAACTGAGAGCAACATATTTAAAATGATCCAGAAGGGGCATAATCAAAGCATTTCATCTGAAATTTCCCTTAAAAGGATTTACCATTTTATCTCTTAACACTCACAGAAGATTACATTTCTCTACTAGTCTAGTGTATGTCTCTGGAATTGTGGGGAATGATATTTTCCCATGTTCCCATTGTTGTTGTTGTTTAGTCATTTAGTTGTGTCCGACTCTTCGTGACCCCATGGACCAGAGCACGCCAGGCACTCCTGTCTTCCACTGCCTCCCGCAATTTGGTCAAACTCATGCTGGTAGCTTTGAGAACACTGTCCAACCATCTCGTCCTCTGTCATCCCCTTCTCCTTGTGCCCTCAATCTTTCCCAACATCAGGGTCTTTTCCAGGGAGTCGTCTCATGAGGTGGCTAAAGTACTGGAGCCTCAGCTTCAGGATCTTCCAGTGAGCATGTTCCCATTACGGCTGGGGATATAAGCTGAGTTCCAATATAATTATCAGGCGTTGTCAACCACTTTATTGATGCTACCTTGTTAGGCTTTTGATTTGAGATAGTCTGATGACTAAATCTATATAAATGAATCTGATCAGATCTGCATTGCAGGGGGTTGGAATAGATGACCTTCAGGGTCCCTTCCAACGCTACAATTCTAAGATTCTGTTCTCACTATATGGAAGGATTAAACTGACATCCCAACCAGCTGTAAATGATGCCTAACACTTAAACTCAAAAGACAACCAGGAGGAGAATGGGCTTCATTGGATGCCAGGGTGATATTACCCTATATGTGCAGCTGCAACCATGAGAGAATGAATCACGCCCTTGTTCAGTTTTAACATTTTGAATATTTTAACTATTTTAGAAGTAAGGTGCATGGAAACAATAATGTGCATAATTATTATATTGGGGGGAAAAACCAGGAAGCTGCCTTATACAGATTAACGCCGTTGGTCCCCACTTCACATTTCACCTCTGCTGCTATGAGCTCACTGGCAAAACGTCTCTCTCCTTGAGCCTCCCCCACCATGAGTAATATGAGGACAATGCTGCCCTATTTTATAGCATTGTTGTAATAATTGCAAAGGGATGATGAATGTAAAGTGTCTTGAAATTTCAAAAATTGCCACATGTTAATCATTTCTTCTAGTTCCAGTGTTCTGGTGGTGAGTGTTCTTGCTTATGTAGCTAAAATGGCAACACCCAAGCATGAGAGAGGAATCATAGAATCATAGAGTTGGAAGAGACCACAAGTGCCATCGAGTCCAACCCCCTGCCAAGCAGGAAACACCATCAGAGCACTCCTGACATATGGTTGTCAAGCCTCTGCTTAAAGACCTCCAAAGAAGGAGACTCCACCACACTCCTTGGCAGCAAATTCCACTGTCGAACAGCTCTTACTGTCAGGAAGTTCTTCCTAATGTTTAGGTGGAATCTGCTTTCTTGTAGTTTGGATCCATTGCTCCGTGTCCGCTTCTCTGGAGCAGCAGAAAACAACCTTTCTCCCTCCTCTATGTGACATCCTTTTATATATTTGAACATGGCTATCATATCACCCCTTAACCTCCTCTTCTCCAGGCTAAACATGCCCAGCTCCCTTAGGTGGAAATAGGCTTGGGAATAACCTGAAGGGTGAACATTCAGTGGGTTTGGAGGGAGGATTTCTCAGTGAGGAGGGAGGCTGCTCAGTGGTCATGAAATGCTAACTGATTGTTGAGAGGAGGGGACATAAAAGCAAGTGGGAAGGAATATGGAATGAAGTACTGGAGTGGACTTGGCTGGCTGGCTGGAGTAGTGAGCAGGAGCACTCCAAACTGCAAGATTTTGTTGCAGGTTCGACTTACTGTTATTATTCTTGTGGGCAGCAAATGTAGCAGGAGTATTTGGTTCATTTAGCTCAGTCACTGTTACGACACGAATCCGTCATGCATTTAGCATCAAAGGCTGCATGAAACTTTTATCTTCAGAAGACACTGCACCACTGAATACCACTTGCTGGAAGCCAATAGTGGGGAAAGTATATTGACTTCATGTCCTGCAAGTGGGCTTCATGGTGACACCTGGTAGGCAACTGTCAAAAGAATGAAGTTCAGCTCTTGATCTGAGCTATCTGGACTCCTCTTACATTATACATGCAGGAGTGTCTCCACCCCTACCATTCAGCCCAGACACTGAGTTCTAGCTCCAAGGGTCTTCTGGCTGTTCCCTTATTGTGAGAAGTGAGGTTTACAGGGAACCAGGCAGAAGACCTTCTCAGGAGTGGCACTCACCTGTGGAACACCCTCGTATCAGATGTCAAAGAGATAAGGAACTATACAACCTTTAAAAGACATCTGAAGGCAGTCCTGTATAGGGAAGTTTTTCATGATTAATGTTTTATTATGTTTTTGTATATGCTGGAAGCCGCCTAGAGTGGCTGGGGCAAACCAGTCAGCTGAGTGGGGTACAAATAAATAAATAAAAAATATTATATTTTATCTGACCATGTAACAGATGGTATGGCATTACTAAGAGCTGAGCCCTCTCCCCAATGTTTTGCTGATCAAAAGCCAACTTCATAATATGTTTTTTGATAAATAAATAAATAAATGCTGACACTACAGTGGTACCTCGGGTTACAGATGCTTCAAGTTACAGACGCTTCAGGTTACGGACTCCGCTAACCCAGAAATAGTACCTTGGGTTAAGAAATTTGCTTCAGGATGAGAACAGAGATCGTGTGGCGGCAGCACAGCAGCAGCAGGTGGCCCCATTAGCTAAAGTGGTACCTCAGGTTAAGAACAGTTTCAGGTTAAGAACAGACCTCCAGAACGAATTAAGTTCTTAACCCAAGGTACCACTGTATATGAAATATTTGTGGGGCGGGGGGAGAGAACATAAGGAGAGTCCTTCTAGATCTGGTCAAAGGCCTGCCTATGTCCACATCATGTTCTCACAGTCTCAGGCAGGATGCACATGTGAAGCCTGCAACCAGGACCTCACTGTAATGATGTTCTCCCCACTTGTGATTGGTGTTTTCCCCCCCAAAGCTGGAGCCATTTTCAGTAATATTGAACATGTCCACTTTTTTCCTCCCTAGGGATCCGAACCAGCCTGTCCCACAAGATACTAAGTTCATTCACACAAAACCCAATCGCTTTGAGGAAGTAGCATGGACCAGATACTCTCAGAAAGACCAGCTTTACCTTCACATTGGATTAAAGCCGCGAGTGAAAGAACATTACAGGGCCAACAAGGTGAACCTGTGGTTGGAACTGGTACCTCACCTGCACAATCTTAATGACATTTCACAGTATACCTCTACGACGACTAAAGTGCCATCAACTGATATTACTTTCAGACCAACCCGGAAAAATCTGGTACCCGTAACTTCAGCCTTTCCTACAGCCAAGCAAGATGATCCCAAACAACCGCCAAGCCTAATTTCAGGAGATCAAAGAGACTACTCCACGGAGTTGAGTGTAACTATTGCTGTTGGAGCATCTTTGCTGTTCCTGAACATTTTAGCCTTTGCAGCTCTATATTACAAAAAGGACAAGAGGAGGCACGACGTCCATCGGAGATGCAGCCCACAGCGTACAACTACCAATGATCTTACACACGCACAAGAAGAGGAAATAATGTCCCTCCAGATGAAGCACACTGACTTGGGTCATGAATGTGAATCCATCCATCCACATGAGGTGGTTCTCAGGACCGCCTGCCCCCCAGACTACACACTAGCTATGAGGCGGTCACCTGATGATATTCCTTTAATGACCCCCAACACCATTACAATGATACCCAACACTATACCTGGGATTCAACCCTTACACACATTTAATACATTTACCGGTGGACAGAATAACACACTGCCCCATCCTCACCCACACCCACACCCGCACCCCCATTCACATTCAACAACTAGGGTATAGCCAGACAAGGTGAAACAAACTTTTTTTTTTTGGTGGATTACAGTGGGTTATAATTACAGAAGACTTCACTTGGCTTTCAACCTACAAGACTCTTACTATTTAAATATGGAGAAATATGATGTGAATATACATATCAAGAACTTTGGGGATTTGGGGGGAAAATGAACTGTACATATATACAAATGAACTTTTAACAAAAAGAGAAAAAAAAGAAATTATAACTTTTTTGCAATTGCTTGAAGCAGTTGTCCTGAATGATACTTTTTTCATTCACATTCGAGTATTAATTTTTTGAGGATTTAAGTTACGTAATGGAATTAGGCATGTGCAACACAAAAGTGGGAAAGAAACTATGACTGAAATTAAAAAGTTCTATGAATATGCACAATGGGACACGTTAATGGAATGTCAGATAATTTTCACCAGTTTTTATTTGGAACTGTTTTCTTGTGTAGACCATATTTACATATTTGGATAAGTATACAAAGCACTAGTGCTGTTAAAAGGCCTTAGAAAGGGGCTTATATGCTGAGATCTGCCAGTTTAAAAAAAAAAAAGGAAAAGGGAGAAAAAAGGAAATGAGCTTTTATAGTCTGGCAGGTTATCACATAAGTGCTGTCAGTATAAACATTGCGGGAATAAAGGAAACCGGATATTTTAGCACGATGTGCATGATAATTTATTATGCTTGGTGGCTGTGCTGCTGATTAAGCCGTAATTAAAAAATTCTTCTTGTCCCATTGGAGTTCTCAACAGAAGCTTCTTTCCTCAATTGGCGCAACCTAAAGGAGGTTTGTTTTCAAGGGGGAAAAAACCATAATCGACAACCCCGAAATTCCCAGTAGCTTCCCAGTAATGGAAGGCATTACAGAAGGTCTTAGAAGTGTTTGATGGTACGGTTGGTGCATAGCAGAGAACAAACCCGGATAGGAATCCCAAAAGAACATGAAAGGCAACTCTGTATGTTTCTAAATGCTCTCTTTTCTTTCCACCCAATTAATTTATAGCGATAACAATGTGAATAGGGCGTCCTTTGATGAAGCACTTAACATGTTGTTGAAGGTTCATTACAACCTCTTGCGTTTATACCAGTAAAATAAAATTAAAAAAAAAAATCCAAAGATTTATTTGCAAGGAATATTTTGCAATGTGTAAAGATGCCCTCATTCCCTCCCTGCCCAAATCACAATGATTACAGCTCTCAGTAATTCTGTTGACTTTGTTATATTGCACTGAGGAAGTTCATTCCTAGGATTTCCGAGGTATTCCTTTTTTCCTCTGCATTTTCTCTTCAGCATTCCTGTAAGCTCGCTCAAAATCAAAGGAGATCTCTCTGCAGAGTACAAATATTGATACAGAGGCTATGGGAGGATTGAAGTCACCATCTGGAAAATGTTTTACTTCTGCATCTTACTGAATATTGTCCTGTTTTGAAAGGAATGGTCTAAAATGAGAGGAAGGTCTTTGTATCCCTTCCCCCCGTTACTTTTGGATTTTAAAGAAATGGTATGTCACGGTCATTTAAAAACAAAACAAAAAACAAAATGTTTGTATGTGTAATCAGATGTACATTTATATTTAAAAAAGAGAAAAAAAATTGAGATGGACTAAAGAGCACATCCCTGAGGAATACTTTCTCTCTTTTCCTGTATTATATTTCTATTAGAGTAAAGTTACGTGATTTTTTTTTATTTTGCATTTTTTCAAATTACTAGCAATTTTGATAGTTTGTAAGATAACGCGCAGAACTTTCTCTGACAAACTAACTGCAGTAACAGAAATGTTTCTTTTCAGTTACTCTTTTTCAAGATTGAAAGCTTATTACACACACAGCAAATTGTATACTACTTGATGGGGGGAAATAAAATCTTTGTATTTCTGGGCCATTCATGTTGGCCGCTGAGTGAAAAAATAAAGCTAATCTGGATAATGGATATTATAATTATTCCAATGCTAAGAGACCTGATATTTGCTCATTAAAGAGCTCAAATGTTTATTGCTGTTTTGTCATTTTTTTAATGAAGTAATGGTAACTGTCTCAGAATAAAGAGTTATTTCTTGAGATCAGTCTGGCTTTTGAAGACTTTGGTACGCCTTCTACAGCTAAAAATAATATAATAAACAAATAACAACCATCACTTTGGGGTTGCGACTCCACCATTGAATTCCTTATGAAAGTGTAAGTCACAAGCTGTAACCGATTACATTCTTGCCTGGAAGTAACTAAGCACCACTAAACACACTGGGACTTACTTCTGAGTAAACATATATAAGACTGGGCTGTGTGTTTTCCAACCAACATTTGCAAGGCAGCAAAAAGTTGGTTGCTGGAAACCACAACTTCAGGTTTTATTTTTAAACACACATTTCAAATAATATTTGACAATTATAAGAAAAGGTTATACAGCAAATAAACGCTTAGAAATTCAGCTCTTAGCACATCAAATACGAGTTTAAATACGAAAGTGGAAAATAGACCCTTTTTTAAATTTTCAAGTGCTTCCTTTAGTTCTCCTTTCCTTTCCTTTCCTTTTAAAAAGCACACAATACAGATAGATTAACGGCCCCAGTTATTAAAATTCCCTCGTAGAAGATGACACAGGGAAAGTCTTCAAAATTCAGGATGGTCTATGTGCAATTTCTGCCTGACGTGGTTGTGACTGTGACCTGCCAAATGTAAACCAATAAAAAGAATTGTTTGCCATCGGATAACTATTGTTTAATCAGAAGATTGTATTTTGCTATGTGAGTAATGGAAACAAACCCGGGGGGATGGGAGATGACCACAAGAAATATATAAATGAATTGTCGTAAAACCAAGATTACACATTGAAGAACAAGAAAACCAACAACAACCCCAAACCCATAGAAAACCAGGTTGATGCATTTTTTTTAACAGTAAGAAGACAAAATAATTTTCTGTCCTAGATTCCTGGTGGTCATATATCTCACTTTAGCTCTCTCGTCCTCATTCATATTCCCTCTCTCACTGTTCTTGTTTATGTTTATTAGTTAAAAATAAATGATTTGGGTAAAATCATACCCAACACTATGCCCCCCCCTACTTTGGGCAGCCAATGGTTTTATTATAACTGTGAATTATGAAGGGACTAATGCAAATGTAAAGTATATTTTTTACTTGCTCACAAAAGCACAGGATGAAGATCCTGGCGGTGATCCTGCGCAGTTGGAAATGGAACACATGTATATATGTGGCTGCACAAAATCACAGTCACGGGTGTTGCGAGCCTTGACATTCCTCATTTTCAGCTCTGTGTTGGGGCATATCCAGTGTGTGCCCTGTCTCAAGCTCCCTGTAAATTCCTGTGCACATATGAAAGTATTGGGTGTATCAGGGTCTGCATTTGTTTTCATGAAGGGGGGGGCAGATTCCTTTGGAGATTTTCTTCCTCCGTTACACCAAATGGGAAAACACTTGCAAGTGGAAGAGCTGCGTCAGGGCTGGGGAAGCTGTGGCCCACCAGCTGTTCCTGGACTACAAAGCCCATCATCCTTGAGCACTGGACACAGGCTCCCCAGCCCTGAGCAGCCTATACAAGGCCCCAAGACTTGTAAGAAACCACTGGATGATGATGCATGCCTTCAGTAGGGCAGGGAAGGGGATACTGGCCCTCCAGATGTTGTTGAAATGCAACTCTCTTCATTCATGGATCATGCTGGCTGAGGCTGGTGGGGGTTTGTTTACAGCAACATCTGGTGGATCACAGGTTCTCCATCTTATAAAGGAGACGGATCAAGAAGCTCTTGGGCGACCCTGGGGAGCACCATTCCAGCTTGCAACTCTATAATTGCAGAGCAGCAGTTAGGATGAAAGTGGAGGGATGTCCCCCCACATCATCCAGTATTGAAAGGCCGTGATAGTGTTGCTCTGGTTGAAGACATCTGGGATGTGTTGTTGTTCTTCATTAAATTTGTCAGTTGCTTTATCTTGCCCACGGCAACCCAGAGCAACTTGCAAAAAAAACCAAACAAACAGACAGTGAACCCCGCATAGATACATGAAAACCAAGAGGAAAGAGAAATATATCAAAAACATCACAGCCACTACTAAAAGGCCACAGGTAGTTAAAGACCAAAGGCCTCATTATAGAGGGAGCCACAGAGTTAAAAATGGCAATAAATTTTGGAGCTCTTTTCTGAAGTTTATTCCCACCAGAATGTATAAATGTTTGGGGGGATTCCCCCCTCCACACCTTTCAAAATAGACCTTTGGGGGGGATGAGTGAGATATTTTATTTCTTGCATCTTTCTATCAATAAGTTATCCTATGTAATCAAAGAGGATTCAGCGTTCAGAATTCATGTGAAGCGACTGCTTGTCTTCACTGCCTTTGCATATTTGTCAGTGTATGTGTAAGTACAATGAAGTATTCTTTTTTATCATTTTTTTTAGAAAAGTATCTTGGACAAGAATCTTAGACAAGAATCTTGGAATCACATTGGAATCATTGGAATCGTTTCCTGCCAAATCGTTTCCTATAGTATCTTGAAAGTATTATCTATGCACAAAATAAACTACCTTGGCATTTGGTTAGCAAATAGAACCTTTGCTGCCCAGGGTTCCTCCCTTGTCCCCCGCCAGCCCTTGGATAAGAGGTTCTGCAGGTTTTCTGCATTATTTCACATTAAAGCATGGAATAGCTGCCTCTTTCTCTCATGCAGATTGTTTTATCATTGTGACAGAGTTGTACGTACAGGCTAGCACCTGTGATGTTACCACCAGGCACAGAGAAGGATTGCTGTTTCCCCAAAGGTTCAGGATGATGATGTACATGTGCACACATGTTTATGTACCTTTGAACTTACTTTTTAAAGTCAGGCAGTCCATCTCTTTCTCAAGGGGAGAACAAGGCTGCGGGCCACCTGTGGCACTGATCCATTGTGCTCCAGCAGTCCCCACCGGCTGAGGATGCTCGCTGCATTTTGATATCTGTCTCGTTTTTGCTGTAGAGGAGATCAGAGGAGCACTTTAAAAAAAAC